AGTCCGGATTCCATTATTGGAAGATCCGTCGCATCCTTTGATGCTTCTTCTTTTAGGCAAGATTCAAGAGTCAAAACACTTTTTGGAAAACCTTAAGAAAATACATTAGTGCCTTTGAAATGATTTCATTGCGGTCTTAGAACAACATCAAACAAAACTTTTATCACCTCAAGAGAAAGCCAATGCAAGGGAACTCTATGAGAGCTATGGAGGATACAGCAACACACAGAGACACATATTTGCAGCTCGAAAGTGCCCGAAATTCTTTACATCAGGCATTTGGAACTTCAGAACAAAAGGAAGAATGAGTGCAAGCTGTAAGAACCAGGACAGCTACAGAAGATCAGCGACACGAAAGGTTACAGAAAGCAAGAGCTAGAAAGGCTTCGGGTAAAGAGTTGTAGGTTCGCGGCTCGCTGAGACTCTTGATTAAAGACAGGAAAGATTTCAGGCCGCTTGAGCTAAGTATGCTGCTAGCAGGGCTGTTGAGACTCGTGAGCAAAGAGATGAAAGACAACAGGCAGAGAGAACCTAGAGGGCTGCCCAGAGATCAGCTGAAACTCCTTAATAAAGACGAGAAAGCCTGCAGCTTGGAAACGGATAAGAGCTACCCTTACATGGGAGCATTGGCACCGTGCCACCTTTAACAATCAGCCGCTACGCTTCTGAAAAGACAGTAACAATAGGCACTATGTTTAAAGTCTGTGAAGCCAAGAGGTTTGCAGGAGAAGCTACTGGAATATGTTGGCAAAGTCAGGATTCCATTATTGGAAGATCCACCGCATCCTTTGATGCTTCTTCTTTTAGGCACGACTCAAGAGTCAACACACTTTTTGGAAAACATTAGGAAATACATTTGTGCCTTTCAGATGATTTTATTCGGGGCTTATATTCTTAGGGAAGGTGGTTTTGCGCCCACTTTTAAAGTGAAGAGCCAAGTATATCCTAGGGTTGGATCGCCCACGGCCACTAACAAATAAAGAGCCACAATTTCTTCAGTTATATTTTGTTGGCAAATTCCAAGAACAAACAGCCAGGTGTAATTCTATTTTACCTGGCACTAGACTCGAGCTTACACTGAGCCTGCAAGAGAGAGTACATTGTAGAAGTTGTTATGTCAATAGCTTTCCGTGGGGTCTGGAAAGTGCTCCTACTCACAACTTTAATGTAATGATTGATGCAGACAAGGTATTTCCTAGATAACAATCGGGACGAGTTAATGAATAATTTTGCAATGAAATAGCAGTGATTTTCCATGGTGACAAATATAACAAAAGAGACATTTTTCTAAAGTGATGCGTCAATACGTTTCAACGAATTAATGAGATCTTATGATGCTCTTCAGTATCCTCTGCTTAATGGGGAAGATTGATAGTAAACATTGTAGTCCAAGCCATCCAGAGAAGATTTTAAACAAAGAATTACTGTACAAGGAATTCTATGAACGCATTTTTATGACGAGTGGCAGTTTATGCAGTTATCTTATCACTCTGGAGAACTCTTTCATCAATCAGTCGATGTGGCTGCTAAAATGGTGTCTGAGAGGCTTTCATTTGAAAAACAAAAGCAACTGAGATCGGAAAATTATATATATAAATATATATATAATACTATAAAATATATATATATATATATATATATATATATATATATATATATATATATATACACTATAAAAATGATGTAGCATCTTCCAATCTTGGGCATCTCCATATTCTACCATCGAGATTTACAGGAGTATCTCAACACATACATGAAAGCACGCAGGCTGTCAGGACCTATGTGCGCCACTATAGTAAGCCAGAACATTTTGTAACCTTTACATGCAATCCAAAATGGAAGGAAATTGAAGATGACCTTTTTTTCTGTACCAATAGGCCAAAGATAGACCTGACCTTCTTGCCAGAATCTTTCGCCGGAATTTGAAGAAGCCCATGGCTCTGATTGAAAAGAGGAAAACATTTGGGACTGTAAAGTGTGACATGTAAACCATTCAGTGGCAAAACCAAGGGCTACCACATGTTTACATTCTACTAAAGTAGAATGTAAACATGTGGTAGCTCTGGAAAGAAAAATTCACTTTAATATAATTGACAGTATAATCACGACAGAATTTCCAAATCTATCAACAGACAAGGAGCTCTATGAAATTGTTAAAAAGGAACATAGTACATGGCTTTAACCTTAACTTGCCATATCTGAAGAACAATATATGTCCAAAGAAGTTTCCAAAGAGATTTCTTACGCAAACACAAACGGATAAACTTCTTACGGGCGTAGAAAACCCAGATGTGGGTTTTCAGTAAAGTTTGGACAACACGAGTTTGACAACTTGTGGATAGTAGCCTACTGATCCTTACTGCCCACATTAATGTTGAGTAAGTAAGTAATCCTGCCTCTCTGTGGCATAAGCGTAGGTATAGCTTATCTGAAGAATTTAAGCACCAAGCCCAACACCAATTTCCAGGTATGGAAATAGACTTTAGTGATGAGATTTGCAACAGATATCGTTATAGAAAACTATGACGTTTCTATTGGAGGGAATGTGTTACCGACATATGACTTGACAAAACTCATCGGACTGAAACCGATGTCATCCCCGCAGAGGTTTTGAGAGAAACATCCTATGACATCAATCCCCTTATGAGCGAAGTTTGCTTCTGGACCAAAGGAGACCTTATGACACTGTTTTAGACAATGCTCGCTTCTCCAAAGGTGAAATATTCTTACTAGTTGCTCCTGGGGGGTCAGGAAAGACTTTTGTCCCTAAAACGGTTTTGGCTAAAGTTTGACAATACAAAGACATAGCCTTGATAGTGGCCTCATCTGGTATTGCTCGGTAGCCGAACTGCACATTCAACTTTTATACTTCTATTGGAGTTGACTTCATCCGATAATCCAGGTTGTGCTATCAGCAACATCTCTGAATTGGCCCAAGTTCTAAAAATGTGCAGGTTCATCGTATGGGATGAATGTAACATGGTACCTAGGGTAGCTCTGGAAGCATTGGATCGAATCAGGAGATACATTAGGTATTGTCAGCCGCCTAAGGAGACTTTAGGGAAATACTGCCAAAAGAGGCCAAAGTGGAAGCCAGAGAACGCTTAAAACCTTCTCCTTTGTGGCGACGTGGATTCTGAGAACATGAGATCACAATTATTTGGAGATCAGCTGACAGCTCAGTTCTCCCGGAACAGTTTAAAACTTGGCAATTCCAACGTACCTTTAGATGTCAATGAAGAGATTGAGTCGGGTTTGCAAGCTTGTTAGTACTGCTGATACATTTAAAGCCAAAGTTTTTTTTCCATACCGCCAACATAATTACAAAAACGACAATTGCTTATGTGACAGGGAAATACTGACTCTAAAAAACAAAACAGTTGACAGAATAAATGACCACTGGACATGATTTCCTCCGATAATCTAATTTTCGGTATCAGCAAAACCTTAGAATTGGTCCAAGTGCTAAAAAGGTGCAGGATCCTCGGAGGAAATGAATGTAACATGTTACACAAAACTGCTCTGGAAACATTAGACCTAACCATGAGATACATTAGAGATTGGCAGTCATCTATCGGAGGTAAAGCACTCCTACTATCTACACACTTTAAACAAACTCTGCTGGTCATATGAAAAGGGACCAGAGCTGAAGAAGGCAGAGCATATCTCACATAGTTTCCGTTGTGGAGACATATTCGAACGTTGATTCTGAACACCAAAAGGAGAGCACAATTATTTGGAAATCATCTGTCTGTTTGAGATTTGGCAATTGCAACATACATTTAGATGCCAATGGAGAGATGCCTGTACTGCAATGTTGTCAGTACTGCTGATGAACTTAAGGCCAAGGTTTTACCGAACCTCTAACATATTTACAAAAACTACAACTGATTATGTGTTATACCGGAACGTACCTATTCTATTGTAAATAGACTCTCCCACAGATAAGTAGTAGTAGTAGCGGTCGCCAGAGGAGCTTAGTGAGTTGTGTTAGTCAGTCGATGTCGGACATTAAAGTATGAGCCACACAACTAGATTGCTGCGTCATTAACTATTATTGCAAGTTCCTAACGTTTTGTACGTCGAACCTAATTTAGGACCGACTTAGTGAAATACAAGCCTTCCACTGTGAAAACTACTCTATAACATTATGTGACATGCCAATACTGGCTCCAAAGAACAAAGCAGTTGAAAGAATCAATGACAAACTGTTGCAGTCTATTCCGGAAACATCTCATATCAACAGGTCAGTGAATACCATTCCAGATCGGGAACAAGTGATAAATTATCCAGCGGAAATTCTTAATTCTCTAGAATCTTCCTGACTACGTTCACATAGACTGGAACTCAAAGTGGGAGTGCTTATAGTGCTGTTAAGGAATCTAAAACTAAGACTTCGTAATAGTAGCAGACTGGTGATCATGAGGTTACTGTCATTGAGGCATCAGTTCTCACTGGTTATGGAAAAGGCGAAGATATCTTTATTCCCAGGATTGCCCTTAGTCCATCAGAGCCGGATATTTTTCACTTTTAAGGAGACTTCAGCTTACAATATGAGTAAGTTTTGCTATGTCTATGAACAAAGCTAAAAACCAGAGTATCAGTTACTGGACTACAATTAGAAGAATCCTGTTTTCTCATGGGCAGTTTTCTGTTGGTTTTTCATATGTAGGAAGTAAAACCAATTTGTTTGTTTATGCTCCACAAGAAAATACACAGAATATTTTCTGCAGTATTGTAGTATAAAAACTATTTAAAGATATTTTGGAGATTGAATAAATGAATTTGAAGTTATATCGTTGTTATAGATTTTATTTCTTTCAAAAAGAGTCTCGAAGCGATACCTATAAGGTTTCTACTGATTTTAATATTACATAATATACTTAGAACATGCAGTATCTTAAAGCGTTTTTTTTTGTATTGTTCTCTCAATACAAGTAGCAAGAGCCACTCAATATAAAGCGTTATGAAAAAGATTGTTGCAATCCATAATGTAACAGTGTCTGGGCAAGATGCTTTCTGTCTGGGACTTCCTCCTGACCAGTGGAAAATGAAGGGATCGAAACTGTGAAGGTCTGAACTGCTAGACCAAAGGTCTGTCGTTCGCACCGACAACTGCCATAAACATAACGATAGTGTAATAAGGGGCTAGCATTTTTTGTCTGTGGGGAAAGAGATTGTAGGGTGGAAAACAATTCCTCACCTCAACAAGCCCGGGTAAATAATTCCTGAACTCTGTCGAGGATGGAAAATCGGGATTGGACTGTTCCGGTCCAAATTTCACAGCAATACTAATTTTTTGTTTTTCTCTTTTTTTTCTTTTTTTTTTGTGGGGAGGGGAGTTTGATTCGATGGCAAAGCAAACACTAAGACGATAACGAAGATGCAAATCATCCACAAAGCACCAAAAGACATTCCAACTACCTGAAGAAAGCCGGAGCGTATAGCATTGTAATAAATATAGTAACAAAGATGAGGACAATAGTCTGAATAATGTAAATAATGTACATAATACCTCATCTCAAAAATATAGACAGATGCAGGAATGAATATGTCATATTAAAAAAAAACAAAAAAACGCAGGCTTGTCAAGTTCCATAGCGTTTTCTGAAAGGCTTGAACTTTAAACCTTTGCATCCTTAACTCCGTTAGGCTTACCACTAAGCCAAACTATCTGAAGCTAACTTACCCGTGTTGATGTACAAAATCCCACTGGGCATTTGTTTCGCTTCCTGACTTGTTTTACTGATGACATTAACAATTTTTCCCCTTCACTCAGTAATCGCGCATGCGTCAAAGAGGACGCGGGAAAGCGGTAAAAATAAAGATCTTTTCCCCAAAACATGCGTTTTAATTAATATTATTATTATTAATAATAATAATAATTGAATGAAACAGTAGCGACCAATAATCCTAACATTAGGAAAAACAAAGAGTGATTTCATTTCATTCAAAGAGTCATGCAGGAAGAACCTGTTTAACTATTAATCATCGATAAATGTTCAATGCTAGAGCCGTTATGGTGGCAGTAATTATTATCATGAATAATTCCATTTCTGTATTTTGAGGAACGGGGCTGTCAAAAATTACATCAAGCAACATTAGCATTAAACAATGAAATACCAAGTCAATCATTTGTTTCAGTCTTTGCTTTCTCTCACACTTTGATTTATGTCACTACAAGACATCGTCATGGATCTTCACAACTGCTTCTCGCTGGTGCACGATGGAAGGCTTGTTGGTTTAGCACTTCGCGTTATTCATTGTTTGTTATCCACCACTTGTGCAAATAAATTTTAAATCCTATGAGTGTTAAATTCTCCAAACAGTCTTTCCTCGTGATGTTTTGAAATTGTAATTTTTTTTTTAATCCTTTCGCCCCAAGCAAGGCACTTGTACGCAGGAGTTACAGAGAATGAAAGAGAGGAAAGCCTGGGTATAAGGTGGATTGAGGAATGGATAAAAGAGGAGCAGGATTCAAGAAGATATACGGCGATTGACGTTGTAGGTAAATTTTTGAAGATTGTGGTTATCAGGAAGGTTAAGTAAACGGAAGAGTGTTCCAGTGGCTGGAAGTGCGAGAAAAGAAAATGTTGGATTAGAAGTGATTATATTTAGCTATTTCAACAGGTTGGACCTAAATGCCAATCTAGTAGCATGCTTGAATTCACGTAGTCGGGGAACCAGTAAAAATGGCTTTCTGATTTCTTATATCTTCCGTTTCTCTTACCGTAGGTGTGTCTTTTAAGACACACCTACGGTAAGAGAAACAGAAGGAAGAGTTAAATCCTCCAAGTCTTCTTGCTTAGGGTAAAAAATGTATGGAAAGTGGAAAAAGTAGTGTGTGTGTGTGTGTGTGTGTGTGTGTGTGTGTGTGTGTGTGTGTGTGTGTGTGTGTGTGTGTGTGTGACGCGTTACGTCCTTTAAGTTTTTCATCGGACTGAATTTGTTGGTAAATTTTGATGGTGCGACTACACAAGTACATGAAAAAAAGGCATGCTGGGAATTAAATTTTGTTTTCTTTTTTCTTCGATTTGCTTTAGATTCTTTTTCGTTTTCTTACCATCACTTTTGTTATTACATATCCCACATTGTGATAAAAGAAGATGTGCCAGGATTTGGTGAAATGTTGTAAGAGCCAAAGCTCCTAATTCGCTGTAGATGACTTTGCAATCAAGGCACTCTCTATACATTTTCGTCGTAGGCAATTGGCTTCTCATAACGTCAACTGGCTTCTTTCTTATAGGAATTTTCCAAGCGTACCTCAGATGTAGCAAAAGGCCGAAAGTAGGGGGCACCCAGTGTGAATCGAACTCACTACTCAGTCGTAATTATTCTAACGAAACAAGTTTTCTAAACATTACACCCCCTCGAAGTGCCCCCTTTTCTACAGTCAGTCGTAATTATTCTAACGAGACAAGCTTGCTAAACATTACACTGCCTCGAAGTGGCCCCTTTTCATCAGTCAGTCAGTCACGTACCATGCATGATACACGCTTAGGCGATCATGTATCTTTCGATACATAACTGACTAGGCAGATTTTTTATCGCAGTATGTTGCCATTTCTTTCTGCGGTAGACAAGTTACCATCCAAGGCTATAGAACCAGGTCTGTCCTGTAATTTAATCATACGTGAGAACAGAAGAGCTGTATTCATTCCTTTCCCAAGGGGATTAGTGCGGAAGGGAATTTCAGTCAGTTATGAGTCATGTGTAATACACGATTAGGCGATCATGTATCTTTCGATATATGACTGAGGCAGATTTTTTTCCCCGCAGTAGTTTACCATTTCTTTCTGCGGTAGACCAGTTGCCATCCAAGGCTATAGAACCCGGTCTGTCCTGCTATTTAATTATACCTGAGTGGAGAAGAGGATGATTCATACCTTTTCCAAGGGTATTAGCGCGTAAGTGAATATCAGTCAGTTATGTGCCACGCGTGATATACGCTTAGGCGATCATGTATCTTTCGATACATGACAGACTCCCCCAGTAGGTTGCCATTTCTTTCTACAGTAAACGACTTGCCATCCAAAGCTATAGAACCCGAGGCAATATTTACCCATAGCTGGGGCGAGAAGATTCATACCTTTCCTAAGGGTATTAGCTTGTAAATGAATGTAATGGATTCGATTAGAATTCGAACTCGGGTCTCCGATTCCTTAATCCGAGCCGCTACCCATTACACCACCGCCATTTTTTTTTTACTTATATATAAAATTAATTTCTGTTTTTTCCTGTTTGCTTGTCTTGGGGTTTTCTCTCATTCTTTTAAATTATCCGACATTTAGTGCCATACAGAAAGACTGGTGTTACATTACAGTTTAATATATTTTCTTTGTTTCTCACATGATTTTCCTGCTTCTTAATACATTGCTTAGCTTTTGGATGACATCTTTCACTATTCCAGTGTGACTTGAAGTCTTCTTCTTCACGTTCGACATGAAAGCACTATCGACCGGAAGTATTTTGATGGCACCGGAAGTTACAAGTGCTGGCGTTGACTGAGATTCTTTTCCGTCTATTGCTACGGGTTTCTGGTTATATTTTCACGTGTAAAATAATTCGAGGAAATGAGAGTAAAAACCGAAATTCGAAAATAGAGGAAGACACCAGATCGTCTGCATCAGTGAATCGCAAGTGGGCGTCCATTGTGGATGACTGATTCAGGTATTAAGAAAAAGAAGCAAGCCGGAATAAATAAGAAAGAAAGAAAGAAAGAAACAAACAAACAAACAAAGAAACAAAGGGTAGGGGCAGATCAATATAAAAAGAGAGAGGTGTAAAAAAATTAAGATTGACAGGATGGAAAATGACGATATTCATAGATTGAAAAAGAAACAGGCTAAGAAGAAGAAAAAAAGGTAGAGAAAGAAAAAGAAAGAGAGATAGTGAACAGGTTGACAGAAATAGCTCGAGAAGGAGAGGCGGACACATAGAAAGAAGAGAAGACTTAAACCGAGAGAGAGAGAGAGAGAGAGAGAGGCGGGGAGAGAGTGAGACATATAAAAACTGTGATAGATAAAAACAGACTAAGATAGATAGATACAAACGAAACAGATAGAGAGATATAAATGTAATAGATAGATAGATAGATAGATAGATAGATAGATAGAAACAGAAAAGATACAAAACAGAATAGATAGATAGATAGATAGATAGATAGATAGATAGATAGATAGATATGAACACGCTGAGATAGATAGATAGATAGATAGATAGATAGAAACAGAAAAGATACAAACAGATAGATAGATAGATAGAAACGGAATAGATAGATAGAAACGGAATAGATAGATAGATAGATAGATAGATAGATAGATAGATGGATAGATATGAACACGCTGAGATAGATAGATAGATAGATAGATAGATAGATAGATAGATAGAAACAGAAAAGATACAAACAAATAGATAGATAGATAGATAGATAGATAGATAGATAGATAGAAATACAGAACACACAGATAATGTATAAAATTACTGAGACTGTCCCACTTAAATACAACGTTGTCTGTGTCAAAAAATCAAATCTGTCATGCTTTCCCCATTGCTTGCATATTTTCCCCGATTTTCACGTCTGAACAACTGACCGGATATTTCCAAAGCACAAATCTCGCCAAATGCGTTGTTTAGACAAACGGAAATAAACTGACATCATTGACTTTATTTTTAATGTAACACAATGCTTTTTTCTTTCTTTTTTTTTCTTCTTTTGTGAAGTGGACACGCAGAAACACGGCCAACATATTCTTTTATTATTAATATTGACATTTCAGGAGAAAACGCCTCCACGTTGTAACGGCTCATGATTGGAAAACTCAATGAAAAGGATTTTTTCATTAGTTAAATTACTAACCCAAAACACAAACTATCTCCCAGTAAAAAAAAATAGTCGAAACATTTAGTTACTAGATGTTAAAGTCCATGATATATCGATTAGTAACTTTATAATAGTGTAAATACTTTCATGGTAGGGGAGTCGTGAATGGAGCAACATTGTTCCTGTCTCAACCAGGAGTGTCCACGTCTCACACCCGTAAAGTGGGTTTATGGTTTTATTTTGTTTTTACGGCATATCAACCTCAATGTGCTATTTAATGCTGACAAGATTTTTTAAATGGATTCGTATAAACATAATATGTATTCTTTGTTAGAAATCAGTTTGTAAACCAGGTTTTGTTGATGTATTTTGGTAAATAGGGTATTTTGTTTTACGACATATCAACCTCAATGGTTTATTTAATGCTGATATGATTTTTTGAATAAATTCGTGTGAATATATGTATTCCTTCTTCGAAATCAGTCTATAGATCAGGTTCTGTTGACGTATTTTGGTAAAGTGGGTATTTTGTTTTACGGTATATCAATTTCAAACAGATATTTAATGCTGATAAGATTTTTTGAATGGATTTGTATGAACATAATATATATTCTTTGTTAGAAATCAGTTTGTAAATCAGGTTTTCTTCGCTTATTTTGGTAAAGGGTATTTTGTTTTACGGCATATCAACCTCAATGGGTTATTTAATGCTGACATGTTGCTTTAAATAGATTCGTATGAACATAATATATATTCTTTCTTAGAAGTCAATTTGTAATTCAGGTCTCATTGACATATTTTTGTAGAGATGATTTTTTTTTCTATTTTCTTTTTTTAAAATGCATTGCCGGTAATATTTTTTTAAAAGTGTATTGTTATTTTTACTATAAAATCTATTTTTATACTTTTATAGTGTTGAAACTTGACTAATGCATGGAATAATAATGCAACACAAAATGTACTTAGAACAAAATGTATTGAAACAAGAAAGTGTACACAATATTTACATATAGTCTTATGTATATTCTTGGGAAGACCGTTCCTGGAGAATGTGTTGACTTAGTCGCAGTCGGGCAGAGTCTCTGGATTGAATCTCTTGATTCCTCCCTCTCTTCCCGGTACCAACCATATTTATATGGTCGGTACTCCACTATGCAAATTAGGTGGATCCTACCACAACATATAGTGAACCCCAAATTGGGGCCAAAACACTCTTTGCTCATAGCTGGGACCCTAATAGTTGCTACCCTCTCGGGTCTGGGTGGAACTGTGAACAAAATCAATTAAGAGGTTGTTCCAAGAACCTCAAACCATCCAATCTTTGATGCCGTATATATTTTATCGTCATACGTAGGACGCTTGTGCCCGGATGGGAGGATGGGTACGACAAGGGATTTAGAGATGAACTTTGTACGGAAGCTTATATTACTCTTCTATATTCTTTCATCTCAGTCTAGCGCTGCTGTGGAAGTGGTGATCCGTGTGCGCGTCTCTGCATTTTATATAATTTAGATATAGACGCGTCTATTTTTGTCATGCCTCTCTAAATAGATTCATATAATAGTCGAGGTTTAAGTTAGTGATTAAAGACACCTATTTGAGAAAAGATGTCACAGTTTACTATGGCTATCTCATTAAATATAAACGTAGATATAGGCCTTTGGTTAAACTGCAGAATTATAAGACTTGTATAAAAATAGAAGTTTACTGTCGTTATCTTTCTCTATATAGGTTTATATAATACCCTTCGTTTTAAACACTGAATAAAGACTTGAGTGAAGACAACGGCTGCTGGATACTTCGATCACGTCTCTCTATATAGATTTATATAATAGTCATTGTTTGAAGCCCTGAATAAAGGCGTTTGTTTGAATATAGAAACGTCTGTTTGTTTTGTCATGTCTCTGTAGGTTGCAAATTAGTTAATAAAAAAAAAATATTTTCCGGAGATATTCTGTAACGTGACAAAGGAAGATTAACGTAAAAAAGGCAAATAGTCTACAATAGTGGATAGATCGACATAAGATAGAGGTATGTCAGATTTTACAAGTATAATCAATTCGTGCCAAGAGGACTGTCTTATAAAAAAACAGCGTTCGCCATTCGATTATTTGGGACAGGATACTAGGTAACTGTATATGGAGGTGGTGTGACTGTTATCAATGTTGAAAACGGTGCCAGCAATCTGTGTTCAAATTCTGGCCGAAGCCTTTGAGTTCGGACCACAGTTATGAGAAAGCCGAAATCAATCTCCCCCTCTCCCGCCAGACTGCCAGATACCACAGTAGGGTAGATTTGCCTCCCGTGGCAGTTGGCAACTAAGCTAGAAGAATATATCTGGTTTCAAACCGTGGATAACGCAATGGGAAGGTAAAGCATCTTCTCTCAAGCATATATATATATATATATATATATATATATATATCCAAGAACGTTTGGTTAAATAATTTAGACGTATTATGTCTATTTATTTTAGTTTTAATCCTTTAAAGTCCATGAATAAAATTTCATGGTGACTATAGAAATTGATTAAGAAAAATTCCAAAATTTTCATTATAATAATTTTCTTAATCAATTTCTACAGCCAACAAGAAATTAATTCGTGGACTTCAAAAGATTAAAACTAAAACAAATAAATGTAATACGTCTAAATTATTTGACAAACATACTATGAATGAAAAATATACTGCCTTATATATATATATATATATATATATATATATATATATATATATATATATATATATATATATATATATATATATATATATATATGATAAAATGTAGTTTTAAAGATAGCTTGAATACTCTGTTGAAGCATGAAACAGACTCTCCCCAATTGGTGTAACGTATATATATATATATATATATATATATATATATATATACAAAGCGCATATATGTGTGTGTTTCATAGAATGTTAGGGACATGAAACACAGTGAATCTTCCCCCGCCAGATACCACCGTAGCTAGGAGAAAAATATCTCTGGTTTCAAACCGTGGATAACGCAACGAAAAGCCAAAGCATCTTCTCTCAAGAACGGAGATGGCAATACGTCTTTTCTGGATGTTAAAAAGACAAAGTAACTAATCCACGTTTTCTCCCATCCTGTAGGAATACGGCTTACAAATTCCTTCAACTATCTGAACAAGCAAACATACTCTTGACAACGAAGCTAGGAGAAGAATATCTCTGGCTTCAAAACCGTGGATAAGACAATGAAAAACGAAAGCATCTTCTCTCAACAACAGATATGGCAATGTGCCAGATTTTAAAAGAAAAGGAAATTGAGCCACGGTTTCCCACATCCTGAAGGTATACAGCTTTAAAATTCCGATCTGAAGAAGCAAAATTGCCATTGCTACCTAGTTCATTTACCCATTTCACAGCAAATGGCCACAATTTCCATCCACTTAGATCGATCTTTTGCTTTTTTTCCCCATTCTTCTTTAACTGTATTCACATTGTCATTTTAGGGCGACTCTTTCGATTTTGATAACTTGGCGTATTCTTTTTAGAGAAAATTTGGCTGCACGGCTGTAAGCTAGCGTCAGGATTATGTCGATGAAATTTATCCTCCTATCTGGCCCCATTAGATTAAGGTTTCAAGAATTGTCACGCATTATGACTATCACATCCCGGATTCTACCAGTCCCCGTTAAGATTTTTCGAAGGCATCTTAAATGGAAAACATCTAAAAATTGTGTAAGTTTTGCGATGGATTCCCATGTTTTGCATGCATATAAGGCAATTGATGCAGAAACAATGTTCACTCTGAAACAATGTCCACACACACACACACACACACACACACACACATATATATATATATATATATATATATATATATATATATATAGTACAGTTAATAAATCCGTTGGTATATAATCCAAGTGGATCCTAGTAATATCAAATATTAAAACTGATCCACAAAAAGAACTCAATTCCTTATAACAGAGCATACAGATTACACAACAAACTTATTTGATAACATTAGGACCCACCAATATGAGATAATTTTGGATTTTGTTTTGTAATATATATATATATATATATATATATATATATATGTGTGTGTGTGTGTGTGTGTGTGTGTGTGTGTGCGCGTGAGTGTGCGTGTGTGTCTGTGTTTCATCTTCAAGCGAAATTTTCCAAAGATTTCGCTTGAAGATGAAACAGTTTGATGCTTTAATTCAATTTAATTCTAATAATTATATTGAAGTTTTCGATTCTCCTTTTTGAAACATGAGAACTCTTATGTAGCGTAGGAATCATATTTTTAAATGAATAATTATAATTTAGGCTCTACTTTTGTACTGAGCACTGTTTTTTTTTTAAATAACAACAAAAATACTAAAGAACTTTGGATTATTTACCTAATGAGTTCTTTCATACTTTCTATATATTTTCACACACACACACACACACACACACACACACACACATATATATATATATATATATATATATATATATATATATATATATATGATAAATATGTAGTTTTAAGGATAGCCTGAAAATTGTGTTGAAGTATGAACAGACTGTTGCCAATTGGAGACGGTGTACAATGATTTCAAGAAAGATAATGACTTGGAGAAGAGAGGATTGTTGTTTTAGGAGAAGCATACCCGCGGGTGTCTGCTCTACAATGTAGCAGTCCCTGAGAACAAAGTTCGCCGGACTAAACTTTTTTATTACATTTGGAATACGGGGAAACTGTGGGGGATTAGGATTTATGGAAAGGGAATGAGGTGCCCGAACTGTCTTAACTGGCGGAACTAAAGAACGGAGATCGCCTAAAAATTTAGCATAGAATTAAATATAGATTAGCATAGGCATGTAATGTTGAATCTTTAGGAAGGATTTTCCTCTCCCAAGACCAAGAAACGCGAAAAGTGAGGATTCAACAGCTCCAATCCAAATAACCCCTTGTGAAAATTAATTGAAACAAAACGGATAATTCCGTTATTATTTACATTTTTTCCGTATTTTTCCAATGAAACATGACCCAGTGCATATGTTAGTACTTCTTTTGCCGTTCCTTGTACATTGACCATGGATTCTCGATTGGATCTAAATCAGGAAAATTTCCGGGCAAATCAACAGTACATTCATTTTCTCACTGGTAAAGCTTGCCAGTGTGTTCGTGAAGCGTTAAAATTTTCGTACGCT